AGTCGCTGGATGTACATACCCTGATGCATGGGATGCCATCAGTGTTGCAATGCCCACTGCCCTTTGTCCTCCCACCGCGAGTGCTGGTGCCAGCGTAGTTGTCACCTCTGTCCCTGCACTCGCGACTTCATCACCGACTCCAGGACCTTAGGCATTCTTACTGGGGCTACAAATAGTATAGATATTAGCAAGCGACTCCTGAAATTACTTAGTGAGATGAGTACATTACCTTTAATACATATAATGTGAGATTCGAAGGCCAACACCCGGCAATTTCATATTTGATTGGATCGATACATTGCACTAGCTAGCTAGGTTCTCGCGCGGTATTGACTCGACTACTCGTTTCAATTTTTTTATATCATCATCTGCCTGGTCTTAAGTAGTCTCACGACGCTCTCCTCAAGGAATTGAAAGAACCCCCAAACATCTCTCCCACCCACCAATACCCATCGACCGTAGAAACATGAAAGCGTGAAGTCACATCCTGCAAGTCAGTGCATAAACGCAGGACATCCTCTACTCGCCAGCTCTGCGAAGATCCACTTTACTGAGTGGCATCTGTGGATTTTGGGGTCCAAGTTGAAGCAAGGATAGCAAAGTTACATGCGATAGTTCAAGCTTCAAATGTTCAAGTCTGAACCTACGGCGATTGTTCTACGTAATCCATCTCGTCAGAGTGCCCGTACATGAAAAAAGTGCAAAAAGGTAAAAGGTATACGGTGCCAATAGCTCCCTTTCCGACTACAGGTTTGTTTTCCTCTTGTGGGGGGGATCAGCTCCGGGTATTTCAATGTCAATCAGTTCTCTTGTCCACACCCATGTCATGGCCGGGAGGACGAGCGGTTTCCCCCCGTCGAAGCAGCACTCCGATGCCCCTCGCAACAAGACAAGTTTTCCATCCATCCACCCGCAGAATCTCATATGTCATGGAAGTGAGAGTTATAGCTCGCTCGTAATCTGAAATACAGGATTATTAGGAGTATCGGAATAGGCTGCACATGTCAGATACCGTGCCGGTCCACTATTTTTTCTTCCCTCCCTTGCCTTTCCCACCAGTCTTCCCTCCGTGCGAGGCGGCGGTAGAAACAGTGCCACTTTCAGCGCCAACAGCCGCACCCTGGGTTGCACCACCTCCTGCACCCCTCCGTTTTTTCCCTTGTGTATAGCTAGTTCGTTCAGACTTCTTCAACCATCTTTCTGGATCCGGTGGGGGCGACACGCCTGGTATGATCCCCTTCGGCACACGTTTTGTCCGCAATTTCTTTTGGGTTTCAACAGCCTCCGGCTTTTTCGTAGGTTCTTCCACAGGAGCGAGAATCGAAGCTGGTTGGGAGAGAACAGGTGGTGGCGCAGATTCTAACGTTGAGGCGATAGAGCTGGGGAGTTGAGACATAGCTTGCATAAATGTAGTTGTGATGAAATCCTGATGCGATTGGGAGGCTGGTAGATTGGTGAGAATGTCTGCATGTTCATCTGAAGACTAAGGGCGGTACATATACGTGAGTGAGTTGTCAACTACCTGCAAAGCGCGCAACGTACAGGATCAGCTGTTTCGAGAAGTTCGTTGTAGATGTCCAGGGATGACTGGTACGATCCTTGGCGATAGCTCTGGCAGATGAATTACTTACACCCTGATACTGAAAAGACACGACCAGATGCTTACCAACTGAGCCTCCAAGTGCATCGCGCCTCTCTGCTCTGCCTCTTTCCCAATGCTCTTTATTTCCTTTAGCAACTGGACAGAATCTTCTTCTCGCTGAAGACGATATAATGCGTATGACCGCTCAAATAAACACTGTTCATTTATTTCAGCGATAAGTATAAGGGCGGTGTCATACTGCTCGGTTTGAAGTAGCAGGAAGAGCTTCGTCCGTAGTGCATCGCGATCGCCTGGATCTAGACGCAGGACTTTATATTTCGTCAATATCGGATCATAAATTTTTTGAAACTGCATCACTGACTCTTATTGCATGTACGAATCGCATTTGTGAAGTGCCCACCATCAACTTGAGCGCAGAGGGAAGTAAACAGACGTTTTAGTCTGTCCGCTAGTGGAGCAGGCTGCTGCTTTTGTGGACGACGCTGTCTTGAGGGAGTCTTGGAAGACGTCTGGCCTGCCTTGGTTGGGACAGGTTTAGGCGGCATCTTTGGTCACGTCGGAGTCGTTGGCAGCGATGAATGTAGTCGTGACTCGTGAGCCACGTGTCACACTTCCTTTCTTGAATTAAATGTGACATAATCAACCCGATTCCCGTCACTGAATGAGAGTATTGTTCACCCGCTACCATCAGACAATGTCGACAAAATTGTGAGTTGTGTGCTATATCTCACTCATTTAGCCTTCAATAATGATATATAGGAAACCAGCAACCGACGCGAAACTTGATACTGACACCCGAGACCAGATGGACGCAGAACAAGAACCAGACTCTCAGCCTGCAAGAAAGCGGCCTCGCATTGACCTTGGTGTCGGCGAGCGCAAGCGAGGCAAGAGCATGTTTGGTATTGTTCTTGGAACGCTAAACAAGGCGAAGATTGAGGACAAGGAAAGGAATGCTAGTGAAGCAGTAAGCATAACCTGTACACGCGTTTTACTCATTGGAATGACGTATATGTTTCTTTTCAGGCTAAAAAGCGCCAGATGATAGACCAGCGGTTGCAAGCTAAGCTTCGCAAGGAGACTGACTCAGTTCGACGCTCTGAAGAAGCCAAGAAGGACAGGAACCTCGCAAATCGAAAGGAAGAAGAACTTCAACTCAAAGATTCAATCGTGCGTTTCACGTTAATATCCTTCATCTTTCGAGAGCCAACGACCTTATCTTTTAGTATAAGCTACGAAGAACGCATTTACCACTCTATTCTCACTTCCTATGTACATCTGACGACACCCAGTCCATTGATTCTATGGAAGACCAGCCATCATCAATAACTCTTCTAGCTTTGCCCACACGATCGCACCCTCCGCCCCTCTTTTATTTGCCTGCGATACTCACAGCAGCCCAGGAAGCATTTTTAGAAAAACGTAAATTCAAGGTGAGCTTAGTATCCGTAAATGCACTGCGGTAGATGGCATGATATCTACTTTCGCCATTGCATACATGAATCCGGTACTAATATATGCTACCTAGGTCAAGGAAGCAGCCGAATCCGAATGGTCCACCTTCCGCGGGGAGCGTACTGCCGGTATCGACGAAATTAAGGAGCTTCGACTACGTGTTGCCGATGAGGACGCAAGAAAGAAGAAGGAAAAGAAAGATGAAATCGAGGCAGACGAAAAAAATCAAATCAACAAGGACGAGGAAATGACCTCTGAGGAGCCTAAGACTTCTGAATCGAAGACGGAGGAGCGTGACTCAAAGACGGAGGCAAAATCCGAGGAACGCGAATCAAAGACGGAAGAAATGGAGGTAGATGTTGGTACTAAGGAGGAATCAGGCATGCGCGCAGACGATGAAGATGCAGTTGAATACTGATTTAGGTGAGTAAGTCGAAAGTTATAAAATTTGTTGGGCATTGATGATGGACCCTAGATCGAATAGTACAACTGTGCGTAATCATTTGAAGGTGGTACAGTATATTTTTTCTGTTCTAGGACACTCTTGTGCGCTCAACTTGTTGTTCTAGTTGTCACCTGTAGTTCGGTCAATATAATCAGGTGTCAGAATTGCTCATGATAACCGATGAGCCAATGGCTAGGGATGCATTTTCCCAATGCTAGGAGATGGTGTTATGGTGTCTATATCCATCAAGTTCAAAGTTGTTGATATCTGTCTCGGGCCAAGAGGTAGCTACGTACTTAGGGTTCAGGGTCCGGGACGGCCAAAAACTGGAATCGACACAGCAACCGTGGCAGGAACCATGCTGCATGATTATCACCCTACCAAGCCAAGGCCAACATTATCTCATCATGGTTTATTCCTATCTGTTGTGGCGGTCGCTATACTCACTCCCAAAACAGCATGACAGATATATTAGGATTGCACAGTGACCTGCCACCGGTGGTCGGATATTATTAACGCCTACAGCAAGTGTAATCACACATGATAGGTGTTGTTGCAGGCGGTGACAAGGTGCATATACCGATTGGCAGGCCACAACATTCTTCCTCTGAACGTGAGACGCTCCTCCAACAATCTCCAGCGTTAATTAAGAGCTGTATTTATTCTGACGTATTTAAGTAAGGATGCTTCACTAAGTATTGTGATCCATCTGGCCCCGCACGTTAAAGTGATAAGAAAAACGCCACCATCTTGTTTAGAGACCAACTAAAAGGTAAGTCCATGTGAAGTTAATAATTCTTTCTGTCTTGCTCATTCCGCAGCCAAGATTGGTAGCTTCCTCTACGCGCCAGACCGTTTGGTTGTTTGGCCGCCCCGTGCTGCACTGCCACCCGGTATGTTGCCTTGTGCGAGGTCATGACCGTCACCTTACCTGCGTATCTGTTGGCGCATCAGCCCCAGGACCGTTGGTCTGTGGACCAATCTGGGACTACGCCAACCTTTACCACTCCCGTGCATTACGTGCCACATACCAGCCCTCAGATCCCCTGGGTCGATAATCGCAGTTTTAAATCATCCTCGTGACCGTTTCACAGGATTCTTCAGCCAATCTGGAGTTTCCGATGATTTCGCCACGAATGATTATTGGCCTGGCCTGCCGTTAAGTGATACAGCTTGTTTCACTTACGATGACAACCAGCCATGACATACCATGCCGGTGGTTTTGAAGACCCTGGGCGGCAAATTCCTTTGCTGTTCGCCGATGGAAATGCCATGGCCATGGCCAGCCGGAGAACATTCCTTGAGAAATCTTGGAAGCGTTCACGGCGAATGAGAGCAGGTACTTGCAATATATCCTGTGAGCGACCAGCCATCATTTTCGGACCCAATGATATGCAATTGGAGGTCGGTTGAGGATGATGCCAGGTCAGTCGTAGCGGTAATTATTCCCCACATTTGACGTTCACGAAGAGTTCAGGACATCGAAACATCCATTATGATCCCGGAAACGACACATTATTCTAACCTCGGACGAGATTCGTTGACATATTAGATATAAAAAATGGGTATAACCACTCGCGTTACATTGAACGAAGTGGCGCGAAATGTGAATTTGACGTTATGACGTAGTAGAAAAGAGCGAATGATAGATCATAGTGATGATAGCAAGTGTCACAACAACTGACGAGCCCGTATGTGATTTGCGCCCTGCGCTCTGTGGTCTGCACGAAGGGGAAAATGAAGAACATTGAAGAAAATGCGTAATCCCGTGACGAATATGAAAAGCTCAGTTCCTCTTGATCCTGAGATGGGTCTCTCGAACGTGACGCCACGCACTGTCGCGCCGCATGTCCTGCTTGGTTGCATTGTCGCGTTTCCGGTATTTGCAACCTTGCCAACGACATACATTTGGCGCATTTTGAGCTCCTGCAAGATGGCTGCTCCTGAAATGCGTTTTGAATTTGTCCAACGGCCCTTCAAATCCACAAGTCTTGTTTTCTCCGACAAGCCAGTCACAAGAGAATATATCGGACGGTGAATGGTGAGTTCCGTGGGTATGAGATCTGCTACGACGCTGAGAGTTCTGGCGAGAACGTGAATTACGGTGAGGCAGATCTTCACGTGGTTGGATGGTTGGTTGACGATATGAAGGATGACTTATGTTGCCTCCATGACTTATATTGGGATATGACATTGCAGCTGAAGTTGAAGGTTGCGGCTCGCGTTGTGCTTGATACGCTTCATGATGATAGGTGGATGGATCAGGGTGGGACACTTCACGGGGGTAGTAGGAGGACGACTCTTGGTGGGAGCTAGAGGATGCATCTGAATTAGGCGAGGCGTATTGGGACGGATAAGTAGTATAGCCATCTGGACACTGCCTGTATATGGGGTACTTGTAAGCAAAGTAACTACTCATAGATGATGACGAAGGGCATACATTTGTTGTGGATAGGATGGCGAGTAATTTGCATCTGTAACCGGAATACCAGAATACCAAAAATCGACACCCCCCTGTGCGGTGTTATGGTGCTGGGTACCAGGATATATTGCGGGGTTGTGGACAGGACCGCTATAGGCCAAGCTGTGTTGAGGCCCGTATGTCGCCGGTATGAAATTGGTAGTTGAAATGTTTTGCGACGGAGCTATATTGTCCATTATGGTATGGGTGGTAGTAACTTCCTCCCTGTGGTAGGAGATGTCCGATTCCGGGTAACCATTCGTATAACCGGGGTGGATGAATGGGTTGAAGGGATAGTTCATCATATTCATATTGGCGGCGGAGCCAAAACCGGCACCGCTATTCGGTGAGGTAACAGTTGCCCTGGGGTTGGCCGATGTTGAGGAATCAGAGGGGGGGAAAGTCCAAGCGGGACGACTAGTTATGCTGTGAGATCTCTTTCATACGGAGGAAAAAGTAGACTAACTTAAAGCTTGACATTGTATTCAGGTGATCGCGATGATACAAACTGTCAGATACCGCGAGCTCATCGTCAAGGGGAGACAACGAGTTCTGTAGTGTGGAGGAAGACGCCGTTGAGAAAGATCAGTGTGACGGGGAAGAATATTCTTAGGACTCCCACCATTTCAGTATGAGGGGTTTCAACGAAGGTGTAATGAACAGTGTAACAGAGTATTGTCTGGAGCGTTATAAGGAAAAGAAAGAGAAGGGGGGAAGTGAAAAGGGTGCGCTCTGAACTAATAAATGCCCTATGATGACCACACAGCAACAGCCAATTCTCCGAGTTGGGGTACGGGCAAAGGCCTTGCCATCGTGGCCTAAGGCCAACCCGACCACCAGCCACCGACCACCAGCCAACAGGGTAGATAAATCGAAAGTTCTGTTCTAGAAGATATAACCGGCCAAGCCACCATCAAAAAAAACACGATCCAAGGATTAGGGGATCTAAAGATGGTAATGGATCCGACGACACCCGAACATTGGAACACGCTTTTCGAAGGTAAGAGTCTGGGACGTGAATCCAGCTGACAAGAGAAGAGCAAATAATAGCAGTATTCCCTCAGGGATGAAATGCTGTGTCAAGGAACATATGCAGTCAATGAATGCAGCATCATAATGACGCCTGATGCAAACGAGACCAACATGGCGAACAGAGGCAGCGGATAAGTGGGAGAAAAGTAATGAGATAAATAAAAGACGCTGAGCACCGAGCTCTGGTTTATTAGTATGTGCCTGCCGTACGATAAGGGCATGCGAAAGGAGATTTCCGAATGTCGTGATCATGGGAGCAGGAACTGTACGTGAACGTTTGGAGTCCATATGGGCTAGGTCAGCTAATTACTTACTGAAAGAACGGATGAAGGACGTAGTTCCTTGTATTTGTGAGACAAGTACCTAATCAGATATTAGCATCACGCACATGCAGGGCTCCTCATGGAGGCCAAAGGCGCATTTGAAAAAAAAACGTAACTTTGTGGAGCATTGGCAGCGTGGCAAACGCATGACCATGTTCCGCGAATAAGTTAATTACCAACCCAGCGCTTATACTACTAGTAGCGGTCCTCTTCGCGGCGAGCAAAATAGCTGCGCCGTGTTATACCTTCAGTCTGCTTTGTATCGTTTCTTATGCGGAGAAAAAAACGACCAACAGTGGCCATTTCTGACCTAGAGTTGAAGATTGAATTGGTCGATTGATCGGCTGATAACGTTCTCGAAGAGAGATTAATGTAGAAGTGTCGATCATTGGTAAATCATTCATATTTTTCCAGGAGTATCCAGCGCAGACCACCAAGTGCCCTCGAGAGACTGTTGCCCTTCCGTAGTTAGACTCGTGACCAGTCGGTCTAATGAGGCAAGCCGTCGATTAGACAGACTGGTAAATCTGGGTTTGAATTTGGATAGTGCGCGGGTTCGTCAGGTAACGTGATCTGTAGCCAATGGGAAAACTGAAAATTTTGACGTGAATACTAAAATTATTGTTTGAAATTTTGAAATTTGACGCAACGCGTCGCGTCAAATGCATGTATCTGCGCTACAACTTCAATGGATGTGAATGCTGTCATTCAAGCAGTGCGACAAGCATCATTAGATGGTCTAGATTCCTTCGCTCGCTCGCTGATAGGAGAACGGCTTCCTACCGACTACATTCAATCACTCAGTAACACAGACAGAACAGATGCACTTCGTGCTTGCTTGCTTGTGTACATCCTTACAGCAACTTTGATCGTGCCACGAGAGTTTCAACTGGAGGCTGCTCTTGCAACACTCAACGGCCGCGACAGTGTAATAACAGCAGGTACAGGCTGTGGGAAGACACTGTGTCTCATCCTGCCAATTATCCTCCGTCCTGACACCATCAGTATGACGATTTCGCCGCTGAAACGCCTCCAGATTACCCAGGTCAGACCAAAATTTGGCTTTTTAGGTACTGAGTGCGACAAAGAGCTCACCAGGTGAAAGAGTGTCTGAAATATGGCATATCTACAATATCTATCAACGAGGACACTCCAAATGATGCATCACTATGGCAGGTACACCCAACATGAAAAGCTGTTGATTTCGCTGTGTAAGGGGATACTTTAACTCATGTTTTCAATCAACAGTCAATTCGTACTGGGAAGTTCAACCATTTAATTGTTTCGCCAGAGCAATTGTTCATTTTCATCCCCTTCATTGTTGGGCCATCTTTCGGTCATCTTTTCTTCGACTTGGAGGAGAAAGTCCGAACAGCAGAGTGTTTCGAAGAGGCTGATTCAGTTCAATAGAGTATGGATCATAAATAGAGCTTGAATTCAAATAAAATGCTGCACTGCAGCAGCCGAAAAGAGTACTGGTCGTTTTCAGAGACGACAACTCGTCGACGAGCGACAGAACGTCATGATAATGTATGATCGAACAAAGTACATGAACTTAGCTACTGTCCCAAAAAGAACTTATCTGTCACGTTACCTGACGAACCCGCGCACTATCCAAATTCAAACCCAGATTTACCAGTCTGTCTAATCGACGGCTTGCCTCATTAGACAGACTGGTCACGAGTCTATTCCGTAGTAGCTATACTTCAAACGACAAAGTACGCGTGACGTAATGACATAATGACAAGACCTCGAAGAGTCGAAAACTTTGTCAACTTGAGTGGCTCCGACTCGGAGTGGTCCGGAACAAAGACCTCTTCACCACGAACTTCCAGGACAACTTTTTGGGGCTCAGCAATGTCAACAGCAACGACGATTCATTTACACGAAAGTCGTCACCTAAACCTTGACTCAATTTACAACTTGGGTCATTCACTACCATTTTTGCTTGTCCAGGTATCTGCCACCTGCGCTTATCTAAGTCAAGAATTTTATCAGTGCATACACCCTCCACCGCACCAAACTCCACTCGTCCGTAGCTCGTTACTCGCTTCTTCTTCGGTGATTGAAGGTGCGGTTTTGGCACCCACGCCTTCATACGACCACAATTGTCTTTTGCCAAAGCTCGCCCGCCTTCCCTCCACCAAATTCATTATACGTTTTCCTACCGACAACGCCAGACACGCTGTCACTGAGTTATTCAACACCGATATTTCCGGCCTTAACCACTCATATCTATCGGCGTCATCATCGCTATGCATTCAAAAACACGAGCCTGCGCCAATACCACCGTCATCATCCTCATACTCGCGAACACCAACAATGGCTTAGACGTGATGTCTGTTTCGGTATCCCTCGTTAAACTTGGACAAGCTTTAAAAAAACATGAAGACATGTCCCCTTCATTTTCTTTTCCTTGGAAGTAAAACTTTCTTATGTCTCCTTACGTCATGTGTTGTCTTGCGCTCTATCCTTCAGAAAGTATGGTCCATTCAACTGACGTTATTTAGTGAAGGTTGGATACCGCAAACTGTATTGGAGAAAGTTACGAATCTTTTAGGTATCATCGTCTTCATTGTCCTACTTTTGGCTGACTTCGTTGTCCTACTCATCGAGCTCGCAGTCTTTGCGCACGGCATCTATTTATAACCCCAGGGCCCGTGAACGGCGTCATCTATTTGTATCTTGCCCATAACCCTTGACACCATTGACCAATCCCACTCTCCTGTCTGGGACCTGCAGCCTACATAGCCACGTCGTCGCTGCCGGTTGATTTCTTTTTTTTTTGGAACAACGCATCAAGATCAGGCAGTACGTGACCGTCCCCATCGCGCTCGCAGTCGGCATCCCCTCGTTGTCTCTTCCCATCAATGCTATTACGACTATCGACGCGGCCTTCACATTCTTTTTTCAGTGATTTCCACTGCATCCCATATTATTTCTCCTTCTGCTTACAGCTCCACCTCATAGATACTGCCCTACTATATATCAATATCCACATACATGTTCCTCTCATTGGTAGTCATAATTTTATATTGCATTCCCATCTCATCCAGCAAACCAGAGACATGTGAATTCAACCTGGTTTACGATTAAAATCTCATCATGTAAAGGACAAAACACTGTCAAGGGGTGGCAGACACGAGGGAAATAGCGGCATGAGGATGAAGAAGCTAAAGGGTGATATATGAAGCGCTGCCCCAAGGAATTGCGCTCGACCAGAAGCATCGATGCGAAGACCCCAGTCGAGGTTACAGCGTCTGTCTCAGTGACGTGTATGTGGCAGAACAGCACAGAATGGGTACACGCGAGGGTGAACTTCAACTTCAATGAGAATAACAAGGAAATATGCTTACCGAGCGGTGGTTGAGGTCTGGGTTTGATGTAATTGCTCCGTTCAGGACTCGTGTTTCCCATCTTCCTAAAGCAAGAAGTGGCAGGAAGGCCCCGGCGCAAAGTCGGCGTGAGCTTTTGGAGCGTAGAGGCAGTGCAAGGCCTCATGAGGTTGTAGTTGCAATTGGGCCTAACGCGTGCATGACGGACCTTGCTTTTCGACTGCCACCTGTGCTTGAGCTGAAAGGCGTATGATGTTGAGCAGTAGACCAATATAATTAATGTTGGTCGGGCCGTCACCCAAATCATAGTCATGTCCGTCGTCATGTGGGGAAGTATTAGTTTGGCGCCAACAGTGGGACTTGGGTACCAGTGCGTCTTCGCCATCGTGCTGTATCGCGATGTCTCGAATAGCCACGGCCTGAGGGAGGGCCGCAATGCGCATGGGGTGGTAGTACAAGCGCAACTTGAACTTCGGCGCATTACGCAACTTACATATATTGCGACTTCCATTATTGAATATTGCAACGTCGGACTTTTCATGCACGCAAAGTTGCTAATTCCCCATGTCACGATCATCTGCCATCATCATTATCTATGAGTAGCCATCTTGCTCACAGGTACCCCATATACAGGTATCACTTACCGAAGAAGAACTTCAACTCAAAGATTCAATCGTGCGTTTCACGTTAATACCCTTCATCTTTCGAGAGCCAGCGACCTTATCTTGCAGTATAAGCTACGGTAACCTAGGTCAAGGAAGCAGCCGGATCCGAATGGTCCACCTTCCGCGGGGAGCGTACTGCCGGTATCGACAAAATTAAGGAGCTCCGACTACGTATTGCTGATGAGGACGCAAGAAGGAAGAAGGAAGAAGGAAGAAGGAAGAAGGAAGAAGGAAAACACAGACGAAATCGAGGCAGACGAAAAAAAAATTCAAATCAACAAGGACGAAGAAATGACCTCTGAGGAGTCTAAACCTTCTGAATCGAAGGCGGGGGAGCGTGACTCTAAGACAGAAGAAAAAACGGAGGAACGCGAATCAAAGACGGAAGAAATGGAGGTAGACGTTGGTACTAGGAGGAATCAGGCATGCACGCAGACGATGAAGATGCAGTTAAATACTGATTTATGTGAGTGAGTCCAAGGCGCTTTGTCGAGCATTACTGATGGACCCTAGATTGAATAGTACAACTGTGCGTAATTAATTTGAAGGTGGTACAGTACATTTCTTTCCTGTCTGGAACACTCAACTTGTTGTTCTAGTTGTCACCTGTAGTTCGCTAAATATAATCAGGTGTCAGATTTGCTCATGATGACTGATGAGCCAATGATCAAGCTTAAGGATGCATTCTCCCAACGCTAGGAGATGGTGATATGGTGTCGATATCCATGATGTTCGAATACGCCGCTTCTTGTTCCGGGCTAAGTGGAACAAACCATGACGAGATATTGTTGACGTTAACCTGGTTGGGTGACACATGCAGCATGGCTCCTATCACGGTTGCTGTGTTGGCTCTAGTCTGATCGTTGATTTTGGCCATTTCGAAGTCTGGACCCTAAGTACGCAGCTCCCTCTATCCGATGTGGTCACCATGCTTATCTCCAAAGTAGCATAGAAATAATCCTAGGAACGTCCAATGACCGGCCACTGACGGCTAAGCACCATCGACCACCTACAGCAAGTAAGGTTCCACATACTAAGTCTTGTTGGAGACGGTGAGAAAGTGCAATACATCGGTCAGGCTGCAAGGTTTCTATCCCTGCATGTGAGATGTCCTACAACGGTTTCCAGCGTTAATCAATCTAGCATGATGGTATATAAGGATTTCTTGCAGGACGCTTCACCCAAATCTTGTGGTCTGATTATCCCGACGTCATACACCAGACCATGAAGAAAACAAATTATTCGGAGACGAGCCAGAAGGTGAGTTGCAACATATCAAGTTAATTCCATTACTGTTCATATTTTGCTATGTTGCAGCTTCCTCCGTCGGGCACATATACACCAGACCATTATGTTGTTTGGCCGTCTGGCTTCGCTGCTTCATGTTACACTGCCGCACCTCAGACTGATGGTCATCTATTGGTATGTTTCCCCGTGCGAGATCTTGCACATATTCTTATTTGCGATTCCCTCGCAGCATCCTCACTAGGATTGTCGTTCCGTGGACCAATTGGGGGCTTGATTTTTTTCTATTCCACCACACTTTACGTGCTGCATGCCAGCCCATCTGCTAGATATGAATCTCAGTCTGAATTTATTATTAGAACCCGTTTCACGGGATTCTTAGCGACCTGCAGACTCGCCACAAATGACTTTTGGCCTGGCCTGCCGTTAAACGACACAGCTTGGAATGACAGCCAGCCCATTCCGGTGGTTTTTAGGACACTGAACGGCAAACTCCTTGGCTGGCACCTAAATTTCATGGCTATCGGCGGAGTGCCTTGGACAGAAATTCTCAAAGACGTTTTGAGAGAAGTTTCGGAAGCATTCACATGCACAGCCGATGTCCACAATTATCCGAGCAACTGGCCATCGTCTTCGAATCCAAGGATGCTTGAACAACGTAAGATCAGTTGTAGTGGTGATCATTTCACGCCTGTGACGTTCATGAAGGGTTCAGGACACCAATCCCTCGGTTCTGACATCAAAGAGAACGCGCATTTATTCCAACACCAGACGGACATTCTTTTTACTCGCGATAGCTTTCAGGCGAGGCTTGTCGTTGTAACTTTCCGAGGGTAGGCTCATCAACCTCCAGAAACAAGGCTCTTGACAACCGACTAAAAATAAAATACAATCGTATTACGTCCAAGTATACCAAAGAATGAACTTGCGACCGTACTCATTTCGTTACATGATAACAGAAAGAATGGAACGATAGCGATACTAACAAGTGCAACAATACACAACTCTATACGCAACTTGAGGCCTGCCCTCGGTGCCGAAGGAGAAAGGAGACTGAAAAGTGCACAATACGAACGCAAAAAGATTAGATCTTCTTCTTCCTCTTCATCTTTAGATGTTTCTCCCGGACATGGCGCCACGTACTATCGCGCCGCATGTCGTGGACGGTTGGATCTGCGCGTTTTTGATACTCGCAACCTTGCCAGTGGCATCTATTTGACGCGTTTTGAGCACCTAACAGATGTTTGCTTGTGACATGCTTCTTTAAATCAACCAGCGACCCTTCAAATACGCAGAGCTTATTGTTTTTGTCAAGCCAATCGCAATGAAATGTGGTGGACGAGGATTCTTGTGAGTGAATGGATGGTGAAGGTGCCATATGCGGGGCTGGCTGATATGGAAGACCAGCTAGTTGTGAGCTATGTTGTGTCCCAAAATCATGGGCGAATGATTCAGGGTAGGAGCTGGAAGACGCAAAACCTGTATTGGGAGGGACATTTTGCGGTAAGTGAGGCCTGTATATGGGGGTACTTGTGAGCAAGATGGTTACTCGGTAGATAATGGCGATGGACGTACGTTGGCAGTGAGCTGGATGGCGGGATATTGTTCTTTGTTACCGTATTGCGGTAGGAACTATGGAAGCTTGGGGGGTTGTGGAAAGTGACGCCGTAACCTGTGTATTGGTTTGTGGTGTTGTGATTTGGTGAGTTAGCAATGAGCGTCCTGCCTGGGGAAGCGAAACTCTTGGCCGATGTTGATGAGCCAGGAAAATCAGTCTGACCGGGGAAACTAATCGCGGTGTGAGATGTCTGTTATAAAGGAAGTAGTAGTAGACTAACCGTGAATCAAGGATTGGCGTTGTATTCGGATGGTGGTGATATAGACGTCTAGATACTATGAGCTCGTCATCGGGGGATGTTGTCGAGCTCTGTGACATCGAGTGAGACGCCTTTGAGAATGATCAGTGTGATGTAGAAGGATAACTTGAAAAGTACTACCATGTTGACGGCGGGGAGAGGCGAAATAGTCATTGTGGCATAGTGTTGCTCGGTTATTTGCTGAATATTCTGGCGTTCTTGTCCTGTGGAATAGCAATGAGGAGATGCAAATATAAATAAGTAGGAACCACTGATACCACGAATTGAGGCATTCATCGATGGGCAAGGGGGGGACATTATGGTAGGGTATTGGTGTTGCTCAGAAGGCTGCTGAACATGGCGTGCTTGTCCTGTGGGTGAGAAATGACGATATGTGATACGGGGTATCGGGGCAGTCGACGATTGGTAAGGGGGAGACATTACGGTAGAGTATTGCTCAGAAGGCTGCTGAATATGGCGTGCTTGTCCTGTGGGTGAGAAATGACGAGATGTGATACCGGGTATTGGGGCAGTCGACGGTGGGTAGTAACGGGGGGACATTCTGGTAGAGTATTGCTCATAAGGCTGCTGAATATAGTGTGTTTGTCCTGTAGAAGAGCAATGAGTATATGCAGAGATGATGGGTAAGACCCACTGATACCAGGCATTTGGGAAGTCGGAGATTGGTAAAAAGGGGGAGGCATCGTGGTAGAGAAGCGGTCAGGTAGCTGTTTAATACGATGCGCTTGTCCTGTAGAAGAGCGATGAGGGGATGCAAAGATAGATAGGTAGGACAAGAAGAAGGGAAGGTGAACCAGGTGTGCCTGCGACAGAGGCCTTAAAAGCGGGCAAAAGTTCAACGGCCACGATCAATGCGACCAGCCAACCGAATAATTTGAACATGTCATTCTAGAAAATATCTCCGACCAGACCTAGCCAACGTCAAAGTGGATGCTGTGGCGATTGTCCACGGATAGGTGTATGTTGGATAAAGGGGGAAATGGTAGTATCACCGCCATGGAACACATGTTCTTGACGGGCAGAGTTTAGCATAGTTACTCCGGCTACTAAGAGTCGGATGGAGATCAGAAGGGACGCTGGGGTTCCATAGCTGAGAAGGTCTTGTCCTACATGGGATTTCATCCTCAACGGACATAAATTGAAATAAAAAAAGGGTTAGCTAGTAATAAACGGCGAAAACTGGAAACTAGGATCTAGGTCCCTCGATCGATTGAAAGATGGCGGAGAAACAACTGAATTTGAAGTTGTGATACTACGCTTAATGCAAATCAGTCAAATTAGAGGTAGCGGATTTTTGTGGGTGATTGTAGGTGAGTACTGTGAGTGGGAGAAAGCAAAGAGATAAAAGACGCTGATGAGTCTGGTTATTATGGGTTTAGTCTTGTGATAAGCCTCGGCAAGGGAAAGGACGTGTCCGAGCCTTTTGATCATGGGAGTCGGGTCATTACAGCACAACTATGATCAGCTAGATATTTCTTCAATTCGATTGATCAAAGTGGATGAGACTCAAGGGTTTTTTTCTAATTTGTGGCGGTGGACAACTAATTGGCACTACGCATGTGCTCATTGCTCGAGCTTGATCTAGTTGAAGTGTGCTTGAAGAAGTATCATGTGGGCTTTTGAGAGGTCGTACCTAAAAAGGACCGTTCCTTGTAAATAAGTCTATTATTACCAACCCAGCGTTGGATAGTACTCGCCTCCGCCAAGTTCGCGGCGAGCAATCGGTAGGAAATTAGTAACAACTTGGGGTAGTAGTCACGATCGACGATCGCGGTTGTCCCCGCCCCTTCCTATGTGGAGAAAAAAACGACTCAGTGAAAATTTCAGTTGGCAATCACTTAAGAGGCGTCGATCATTTAATATCATGGATCTCCAGCCCAGACTGACATCGTCATTGCCCACTTACTTTTGATTAATCTGCGAAGAATCGGTAAAACCGTATACTGAAAAAACTAAAATATCAGGCTAAATGTCAACGTAGCAATGACGTATAATATATATGTCTAAACCCACCCATCGAATTCAAAACCAACGCATTTTGTCTCTGGCAGTCAAAAATAGATAGCTTAGCATGGAACATGCTCAAGTCGTAAAGCCAGGTCCTGGAGATGTCTTATGAGAGCACCAGGGCCGCAGTTTGATCCCTAGCCTAGGGAAGTTCCAAAGGAAAGAAAAACTTCCCATCGGACCTTCGACGAAGCTAGAACACGGAGCAAGGGGATAGGCCGGTGTTCACATTGTATTATTAGTATCACTTGCACTGCTGCAGGGATCCCAGTCTCCAGAACTTTTAACTTGAAAATGGTTGACCCTGAGCGCTGAGCCCTGAATTCATCGTGTCTGCGCTTTTCAGTCGATAATATCGATATTGTTATCCCCGGACTGCCTCAGACGGTCCGTGGAAGTTGCCGGGGTGCGGCTCTGCTCCCGCTAACTTCAGTCCATGGAAGTTCGAACTGGAAGATGGCCTCCGATGTTAAGGCACCGGGGTATACACGGAATCAATATTTGATAGCAAATTGATAATGATATAATTCAAGCTCGACGTGATGCAGAGACCGTTTACCCTTATTTATTTACCAAGTATATATAGCCTCCTGTCCGCTCGGGGACAGTACTAGTACGTGCCATGTGAGCGTATATGCGTTTGTGACAAAACTCCTCGTCCAGGTAAGCGCGAGGACGTTAAGCGCCGTCTTGAGGTGTTTGGGTTTTGTGAGTGCTCATGCTGCCTTGGTTTTTTACGTGATCATTTGGTTCATGAGCTTTCTGGTCAGAAAGCCAAGGTTGGGATCCGGGAGATCACCGGCGCCACAATAACAATGCGAGCACAGGACTGGCCATGGCCAACACGTCTACCAGCCAACAGGGTAAATTGAAGGTCGCATTCTAGAAGACATGGCCTACCAATCTGACATATTTGAGTGGCATGTTTGGAACAAAAAACCAAGGGGCCGTTACAATGTCGCCGGAACATTACAAGTTTGGTTGGCGCCTTCGAAGTGCTTTGAGTACAAGATATCGAAAGACTGCTGCGGCGGGCTACGTTGAATGTGAGGCTGTTAAAAGGCCATGCCCATTAGAAGATTAACGTCCCCATTATAACGGGAGACTTCCCGTATATAGGCGGAGCAACAAGGAAAAACATTGAATTAGATGAATGTTCTATGCGAAAAACCAAACCGTAGGTCAACGCATTCATGGATGAATCGATGATATATATCTTATATCAGTATCAAGCATTGCAAAAAGTAATGGACGACGAAGAATCTGCACTCAATATTGCAGCTGACGTACTGGTGGGAGCCCAGCTGACTCGACAAGAACGCATCAACAACCACGATGACAACACCTTTGCCGTGTGCAGCTCCGAGCCTTCCCAATCCACCCTGTGGCCTCCCGTGGCAAGTTTTGTTTGCAATCCAGAACGATCGAGTTTACATTACAACCATGGACCATGGGCTTTCACGCCAATGCAAAGCCTTGGCCCTGACATGGTTGCTGTCCTACAAACACAGAAGGTAAATTTGGAAAATGAGGGAATTTTCGCATTGGACGCCATCCGGGATCCCTTGGCAAGCGCTAGCATCAGGCTCGTATGGGGGTATTGTAAAGCCGGAAACTTTTTTTCCAAACAATAGATCCAAGGATGGGACTCGTGATCATTAATACTGTTCAAGTTGACGACGAAATCTGAGTCTAGCGGCGAGCGCTATGAAGTTGTGGCTACAAGTCCGAGTCGCAGCCGGTTCTGCCAAACCGGTTCTGTCCGACAGCTAAGCCTCATGCGGCAGAATACGGCAGAATGAACAAATGTCGACAACAATCTGGATGCTACGAGACTCAGCACTCAGTACTAGTCCTGCAAACACTTTGCATCCAAGGTCGCGACAACCAACTCCCAAACGATCTTATTCACAAGTGTAGAACATCCCAGATTCTCTTCGCTATGGCAGTGGCCTGCAGTGGCACCATAATCATCAGAAGGCCGGGTTAATGGAAAGCCAATTCGTCGACGTCATGCAGACGTGCACACCAGTGCCCAGCCTGGCATCAACATCGATGTAGCTGCTGATTAGAAGCCAATTTTATATGGGCACCACCAATCGCACCTCAGACTCGGAACATCAATGATAATCTTGTGCCATAGGTCCTGAATCCATATCACTTCATGGGATCGATGCAGCGTTTGCCCTAGAAGGCTGTCGACCAAAGTTATTCCACCGAAATCTGTTGACGAGATCATGGTAGGACGACGGACAGTAGGATGCGGACATGCTGAAACTTTTTACTTGGCCTCTTTACCATCTGTTCTTCGGGCTATACGACTTGAATATCACTCAACCCAGTTCCGCTCAAATATTTGCCTGCCATTGGCCAACTCATTAAAGTGTTCATGGCCTGCTTGTCTTCAACTCCGATGGTAAAGACTCGACTTTTTATATCTCTAGCCAGATCTTTCCGTCATACCTACACTGATCAGACTTGCCACACTGGCACCCAACGCGTACTCTGCTCTTGCAGAAGGTTAGATGGTGTGTAAGCCAAGAACCCTAACCAGCAATATGAAAGGAGGTCAGTACTATAGTGGTTGCCAGATGTTTCATTGAACATTAATCCAAACACGCAGTCAACATGCATAGACGGTGTGATGGGTCTGCCTGCGCAGACTGCGCCGCAGAACATTAGCACTTCCATCTTTCATATCAGGAATACCATGTCAGTATCTCATACAATTCCAGCTGTGATCGCTCGATTATACGCTCACAATAGGAATGAAACGAAGCGATACAGCCACAGTGGTCTTACCGAAACTTCTACCATTTTTCGAGAGGACCATACTGATCGGCAACTCGGAAGTGAGACGCTCTGCCTTACTTTTCGACTGCGACCGGCGCTTGAGCTGAAAGGCGTATGATATTGACAGTAGACCAATCATGATGTAATTAGTGTGGTCAGGTCGTCGCCCAAATTATAGTGATGTCCGTCGTCGCGCGCGGTGCTTGCAGTGTGGGGAAGCAAGTTCGCCTTGCGATGACGCTAACGGTGCCGGGACTTGGGGTACTAGTGCGTCTTCGCCATTGTCTTGTATTGCGGTGTTCCGAATAGCCACATGCAGGGCCGCATGGGGCGATACAAGTACAACTTGAAGGCGCATTACGCAACTTACATTACGACTTCCATTATTGAATATTGAATATTGCAACGTCGGACTTTTCATGCACGCTAACTCCTCACATCACGATCACCTTCGTATGTAATTTGCATGTTTGACTCTGCATTTTCTTATGGGTGTGAGCAACAAAACGTGTCTTGAATAGTTGGACTATCTCCGTGAGTGCCCAGC